TATGTGATAGATGTTATATGAGATAGATGCTGAATAAATAAATATATATATACATAATTAGTATATATATATATATACACATTAATTCTTAGGATAGGTAGTATGCTCTATTAATTGTAATGAAAATCTTCCTCTTCATTTTCTATTCAAATATTCTGTATTTTAATTTGGATTTTGTCTCTTACTGTGGGATCTGGGGCAAGTTATTTTGAGCCACAATGTTTTCATCTAGTAAAATGGGAATAATTCCAATCCTGTAAAGTTTTTATGAGGATTAGATTAAATAATATAACATATGTGAAATGCCTAGGTACAGGCCTGTTACATTGAATGATAATAGTCCATAGAGACTTGCTATGGACCAGGTACTTGCATCTGTACCAACCTAAGCCTCACATCCACCCTAGGTAGGTATAGTTTTTAATCCCCAATCCACAGATGAGTATCCTGAAATCTAGAAATGTAGAATAACTTGCTTGTGGTCACGTATTTAGTAAACAGTTGAGTTAGGATTTGAGTGCAGGCTGGGTCCAAGGTCCTTGCTCTGATACACCTGTGCTATATTCCCTCTCCTTGAGTATTTACTATCTTCCCTTTCTCACCTAAATCCCATCTTACTACTAGCTATTTCCAAGTTACCTTAAATTAGGAGTTCTTACCTGGAGCCCATGGGTGGGTTTCAATTAATACCTTTAACCTGTGAATTAATCAGACCTCTCATATAAATGGCAGAAATGTGGCTCAAACAAGCTGAACCATGGAGGAATTTCAACAAAGGACTAGGAAATGTCCTGGAACCCAAGAATAGGAATGTGAGGGATCCATGGACTCAAATGCGTTTGAGCATTCTTCGTTTCTCGGGCTCACGTGTTAGGAAACACATCAGCTAACAGCATCCATTGCTTCAGTTATTAGGGACAGATTGACTTGATCCTTTGGATATAAAGTACAAAAATTCCAGAAAGGGCTTTAATGTGCCCAGCTGGGGTCAAGAGCTCTCCAGCAGCCAAATCCATGGGTGTCCATTACAAATCATATAACATGTATAAGTATGAATCCATTTTTTTTTCCTGAGAAAAGGATCCATTGATTCTGTCAGATTCTCAAAAGAAGTGATTTGTAACTCAAAAGCAGTAAAGAGCTACAACACAAAATATGCCAAAACCATCTCTTTCTTCTCCTTAATACCAATCCTCTGACTCCCCTGCTTCTGTCACAGGCACCACAGTCTTCTAGGCAGTTAGTCTTACCACCTTGCTGTATTTTCATTTCTCAATGGCCTTTACCCTCTGCATTCAGTTATTCAGAAAGTTCTGTTAATTCTTCCCACACAATGGCTGTTGGGACTACTCCTTTCTATCTCTACTGTCACAGTTCTTGACTAAAGCTGTCCTCTTCTTTAGCTCCTTAAACAGTAATAGTAGTATCTTACCCATATCATTATTACTTGTGCCTCCATGCTCAAATCTACCCTATGAGATGAATATTTTAAACACTGTCTTCTTGTCATTCTTCTGCTCAGAGATTCCAGGGTGTTTCCCTTCCTGGGCAGTACCCACTTCAGTTCAGTCCTGTCCCACCTTTCCAACTGATGTTTTCTCCCCTGATTAGTAAATACTCTTCTGTTCATTTACACCTGTTGCTTTCTGGTCTGTTTTTTTGACTTGCAACATGTCTATTTAGAGTTCACACCATTGCTTGTCTTTGTTAAGAAATAAGATAGCAAGTCAGACTTCCCTGGTGGCGCAGTGGTTTAGAATCCGCCTGCTAACACAGGGGACACGGTTTCGCGCCCTGGTCCGGGAAGATCCCACATGCCGTGGAGCAACTAAGCCTGTGCGCCACAACTACTGAGCCTGTGCTCTAGGGCCCGCGAGCCACAACTACATAAGTCCGTGTGCCACAACTACTGAAGCCTGCGCGCCTAGAGGCCGTGCTCTGCAACAAGAGAAGCCACTGCAATGAGAAGCCTGCGTACCGCAACAAAGGGTAGCCCCCGCTCGCCGCAACTAAAGAAAGCCCATGTGCAGCAGCGAAGATCCAATGCAGCCAAAAATTAAACAAATGAATAAAATAAAAAAAGCAAAACCAAAAACTTACCTGATAGGATGTTGTGAGAATTAAATGAAGTAGTATATACAAGGCATTTAGTAAAGTATTTGCAGCCAGTAGGCAATCCATCAATGGTAGATGTTATGACTCTTTATTCAGTAGGGAGAGAGAGGTGGCCCTGATGCTTTACTTAAGAGACTTGGAGGTGCCAGGGAAGACATATGCCATATGCAGAGGTGAGTGATTGTGCAGAGTTGACAAAGCAAGGAAGGTAATTTTGAATGGTATAGATGGCACTGAAAAGTTGGGAGGTATAGAGTATGGTTGGGCCACTTTATGGACAATTACTTACAGCTTCCTCTTACATGGCATAAATTATGTTTCCAAGTTTAAGTTATAGACTAAATTATCATCTTGACTAGAATGGAGTTTTAGTAGGTAAAAAAAAAAAAAAAGCATTCTCAGGATTTCAGGTATTAGTGACCGAAAAGGAAATCAGGGTGAGGAGTTGAGAACAGAGGTGGCTTCTCTCTACATTGTGGCTTACCCCACCCTTACCTCTGTCAGGGACAGACTGTTTCCTCCACAAAGTTAAGAGTGTGGCAGCAAATAGCAAGACTTAACAGCAGAACTATGCGGAAGAGAACTGGCTGAGTAGCATCATGTTAGATGATCGAAACAGTGAAGCAATAAGTTCATTCCAGTGGGCACTGGCACTGCTCAGTGTGAACATGGGATCTTGGAAAGGTCGGCTGAAAGAAATGGAGACGGATCTTTGGAAGTATGATGAGGATAGTGAGTCAGAGTTACTCACTTCATCAGAGCAAGAGACCCTGTGGGTCACAGCTATTAGAGTTTACTGTGGGAAAATCCAATAAAGAGCTCTGCTGCTAAGACTGAACAGTTACAGTATTTTTCCCATTTCCAGGAAGAAGGGATTTAAAGGTTTTCATTTTGTGAATTGTTATTAAACTTTTGGTACTTTCTAGTGAAAAGTTGCAAGCAAATTTTAGAGGAAAAATGCAGACGTATTATTTCTTAAAAATACATTTTTTTTAATATGTGGGAGATCTGCATAAACATAATGTAGCCAGATTTAGTGCTAGTAAAATTGTGTCAAGTCCATATGGCAGAATTCAATCTAACAATATTTCATGGTGTTCCACAATGAGCACCATAATTTCTAAGTATCACCACCTGAACCAGTTTGAAAACCAATACATTACACCCCAACCGCCTTTTGTTATTTCTTAGGGAAAGGAATGTTATTAGCTCAGTGAAACTCACAGGCAAAGGCTCAGAATCAAAGTAATCTTTAAAATAAATAAAAAGACCAAAAGAGAATTAAATAAGGTAAATTTAAGTGCAACAAGAATAGCATAACAATAGCTAATGTTTCCTGAGCATTTATTATATACCAGGCTCTGTGATAAGTACTTCTCAAATATAATTTCATTTAATCTTCACAACCATCCTGTGAGGTAACATCACCCATAATTAGATAAAGAAAAAGAAGGCTCAGACCTGCTCAAGGTCTCATAGGCTGGTAAGTGGTGGGTGACACTGACATTCAAATCTAGGTTTCCAGACTCCCATCTTAATGACGCTGTAATGCCTCTTTTGTGTATACAATTTTAAAAAATCTCTAAAAATTGAGATAGAGTAAAGCACACCGATCGTTTTGCACATATACGAACCCTTGTAATCATTAACAAGATCAAGGTATTGAGCATTTCCAGCAACCCAGAAGGCTCCCTCCTGCCCCCCCCCCCACTCATTCAATTCCTCCAAAGTAATCACTACTCTGCCTCTATCACCACAGATAAATAGGTTTTAGTTGGAGTAATCTAACTTTTTGGAGTTATCACCAAAAGATTCCACAGACCGATCCTTCCTCTTGCCGTTTTAGCTGTAGTATTCAAATCTGCTCTAGCTGTGACTTTTCAAGAATTCACTGTAGAGACTAGCTGTTGCAAAATGGCTTCATATTCAATTTCCTGCATTATTCTGAAATTAATACTAATTTTGAAAAAAACACAAAGAAAATCCTGGATGCAGCAGATTAAAGGACTGTTATCAAATCTATCTTAGAAACACCACAGACACAGGTTGCTTGACTGAAGTAATCTGGTGTATCTATTTCCAATCATGGTGTCTCATTAAGGAATGGATGACCACGAAAGGTCATCTCAGTTTACGGAAGAAAGGCTAACCAGGCAGAGTAGGTAACAGTGATTGCTTTGCATCATCTTAAAGCACACGAACAAATTTATGTGCAGATATCTTCTGCAGTTGACTTGTTGTTCTACGATGCAAGGGAAAGGAAGAGTAAAGGGGAAGAAGATCTAGGTGGAGGGAAGTGAGGAAAATATGACCTTCAAGGAGGCTTTGCTGTGGTGGCTTTCCGTGCCTTAACAACTAGCCCTTAAAATCACATTACTTCTTGTCCAACCTGGCAGCGACAGAAGCAGCGTCACAACTTCACCTCAGGCTCTCAAGCTGTGGTTGGTGAATTTCAGCAATGATTCTAGATAACAGCTCTCCCTTCTCTCTCTCCCCTCCCCACTATCCCCCCATTCCTGGTTTTGCACTTCATTCTGTTTCCTACACCAGCCAACTATGGCATTTTGAAGCAGTCTACAGATTACAATTGAGCATCAGGGAAAGAATCTGACATTTGTAGGGTTCGAAGACTTCTAGGAGTGATATGTGTATGAGGTGACTTAAGTGGGGAAAATCTAGAGGAACGTTCTGGCCATCAAAGCATCAGGACAGGCCCAGAAGTGGGCGCACGTGACAGCAGCAGCACCTCGAGAGTGACATCACCCTGGGGGCGGAGCCGAACCATCCAGGGCCTTGTCTGCTATTGAGCTCCCCTCCCCTCTTCCCCACTGAATGCCCACGACCCCACCAGTCAAAGCCCCTTGAGGAAACAGAAATGCCCAGACCTCACAGAGAGGCAGAGCCAGGGCCAAACCTCTCCGCGGAGAAAACGGTTCGGTCTTCTCTCTCTCCCCGCCACTCCCCAACCCCAAACGGTGGAGGGGGCGGGGGCGCGCGCGCTCCACCACGCACGCGCTCCCACGCACGCGCTCTCCCTCCGCGCTCGCGCTCCTCCCCACCCCGGCCCGGAGGGGGCGGGGCTGCGGGCGGCCTCTGAGGGTGCGACGCCCCCGGCGCGGCGGCGGCGCTAGCGAGCGGCCGGCCGGGCGCGGGTTGCTGGGTGCGCTGCTCCGGCGGGGCCCGCTTGCACAGCTGCCTCGTGCGAGCCGCCCGCCCGGCGGGTGAAGCTGCGAGCGCTCCGAGTGCCGGGCCCGGGGCCGCCAGCGCTGCCCTCCAGCCGCCGCCCTCCGTGCCTCCTTCGGGCGGCCCCGCCCCCGTTCCCATCCCCCTCGCGCTCACCTCCTGGCTGTGCAGCGCGCGAGGCGGAGCAAGTTGCCCGCCGCCGCCGCCGCCGCCGCCGCGCTGGGCGAGAGCCTGCACCCGCGCCGCCGCTGACAGGAGGACCGCCGAGGGCTGCGCTAGCCGCCGGGCCGCGCCTTTCCCGGACGCAGACCCACAGCGGGCGTCGGAGCGCAGCGAGGTGCTCTGGGATCGCGGGCGGCGCCGGCGGGCGGCGCGGTCCTCACAGGAGACCCCGGGGACTCGGGCTTGACCCCGAGGTGCAGCGAACCCCTCTCAGAGCGGCAGGTGAGAGACCCCGGGAGCCCGGGAAGGGAAGGTTGCTTCAGTGACAGCGGCGTTCGCCTCCGACGCCTGGGCTCCAGGGAGAGGGGCGGGGGCTAGCGGGGAGGCAGCGAAATGGGCAGTGGAGTGCCTCCGGTGTCCAGGGCGTGGGGAAGGTTGGCTCCAAATGTGGCACTCGGGGTGGCTTCGGATGGGTCTGGGATCGACCACTTCGGTGTCACCGAAGGTGTCATGGAATTTGGTACCGAGAGAGTCTCCGGATGACGGGGACCCAGGAGGAGATGCGAGGCAGATTTCTGAACGTGGCAGGGAATGTGGTGCAGAACGAGTTGTAAAATGTGCCCCCTGAATGCAGCATGAAAGTAGTTGTGAAATGTGCCAGGTAAGGCACAGGGTGGGTTGGCCTGTGTGGCGTTGAAATTCACGGTAGAAGTGTTATTAGTGATATTATTAATTTCTCTGGGAAAGGAGGCGTAGTCTAAGAAGAGATTAATAAGGCTCATGGCTAGATATTTTAACACAGGGAGTCGAGAGGAGCTATGATACGCTATTTTTTGAGATAGAGATAGTGCCCACGTGAAAGAAACAAGCAAATTGTGTCTGGTTGTGAGATGGGAAAGAAAAAATAGGGCAAAATAATTCCAGGGTTTGCCATCAGCGTGTAGAGAACTGATAAAATTGTATCCTGTGTTGTGTTCCAGGTGTGGAATGTTTAAAATGGTTTTCACCAAACATAAACAATGGTAATTAATATTAGGAAGAAGATTTGGTGTTTTGGGTGTCTTGCACTGTCTTCTCTGCTCCTCTCCAGGAAGAGGAAAAAAACAAACCAAAAAAAACCACACAAAAAACCCACCCCACATCTTGACCATAATTCTGAGTTCAAGATCATTAGGCAAAGGGACGTTATTTCATAGGTGCCCCTTTCTTCATTTTTATACAGGTGAAAATTACTGGAATGAGGAAAACAAAACAATATGGTGAACAAAAGGGATAAATTTTCAGGCATTTTGAGGGTTTGAAGCCAAAAGCTGCTGCAGTGGCTAATTATGGTGAATGACAGTAGTGAAATATTCTTGATGTTGGGGTGGCAAAATAGGAAAAAAAATGAATACAATAAAGGTGGCATAAAAAGCAACAACATGGATACTGTCAGTGGAGCGCTTCTTGCAGCATTTCCCAGGTAGATCATCTCAGGAATGTGAGCACAGAAATGAAATATTAAATATTCTCATTCTCTCTCTCTTTCTGTGTGTGTGTGTGTGTGTGTGTGTGTGTGTGTGTGTGTATATGTATCATTACCCACATGCTGCAAAACATTGTGACTTCCATTTAAGAAGAACATCTGTGTTTTGAGAGGATTGTCAGAACATAGCTGGAATCTCAGAAGTAACAAAAGACAGCTCCATGAGCTATTTAATATAACTTATATACATTCAGTGAGTGTATGTCTGTATAGTATGAAACAAGCAGAAATATCGGCATGTGTTCATTAGGGTATAGTTAATTATTGATGAGATATTTGTGTCTTATGTTACAATTCTTGCAGAGAAACGGAGTTACTTGCCTGAATGTTGTTCTTATAAGAACAGTAAGTAATTTGCCAGATAATTAAAATTCATACGGATTGGCTTCCTCCTGGATCCAGATTTAGCCATTGAGGGATCATTTGCTTCAAAGGCAAAACTGGATTTTCCTTGGTGGTTAATTTTGGGTTTTAGTCTTTTCTGTTGATATGTCTCTCACCTTGAGGCTGTGTTGGGCCTAAAACATAGAGGAGAGGGCTTGAGGAGAATAAAGAGCAATTCTGTTGGGTCTTCCTGTTTTGTTCTGACTGTAAGCCATATGTACTGCCACCCCCTACTGTCTGTAGGAGGAGGTGTCACAGAGCCCAGTTCTTTTCTTGTTATCACTGCCCCCTTGTGTAAGGGAAGAAATTGATAGTTGCACTTTGGAAAGCCACTCTCCCCAGATTGTTCTTGATAGAGTGGTTATGTAGATTTATAATCACCTATTCAGAGTTGCAGGGCTTTAAACTTACTGTCAGTCAGGCTTCAGGTTTAATGTCTATTTTTAATAGTATCTAATTTTAGCCAGTAATTCGAATTGCTAAGAATGTTTTCAGTATGTTTGGGAAGATGGTACTACTAGTAGTGCTAGGTAGTAATGGCTCACCCTTACATAGCACCTACTTTGTGCCAGTCCTGTTACACAGGTTTTAATCAGTTCCAACACCCTACGAGGTATGTACTGTTATTTCCATTTTACAGATGAGAAACTGAAACACTGAGATGTTAAATAGATTAGTTAGTTAGCAAGTGGAAGAGCTGAGTTCCAATTCAGGAACTCTGGCTCCACACTCTGTGCTCTTCATAAATATACTATATTGCCCTCAATCAAATTAGTATTGACACACATCATTAAAATGCAGGTGCCCATCATAAAAAAGCAAATACTGTAGATGTGGATAGGTCCAAGTAGGTAGTAAGACTCATAAATGCTAAGCCTACAAATACACCAAAAATACAGTTACTTACAGTATGAACATTTCTCTTTAGGAATTTATTTTTGTAATTTATTTCTGGGATTATGAGTAGAGGAGTATCAGTACTTTTTATGGGGTTAAGGTAATATTTGTGATGGAGGTTGGTTTTGGGGGGATCTTTGGAGGTAGAAAGTTTTACTTTAATTTGGTGTGTATGTCTGTGTGTTTATGTGTGTACACGTAGTGTGCAGGAAAGGTTTAGTGGTGCTTTTAAAGAAATAGTATATAGATCTCTGTGTAGAGCTATAGAAATTGTTTTCTACAGGAAAATTATTTTCCTACCTACTTACATTTTTACGATCTCTATTTTAAAAATTTTAATTAATTATTTACTGGCCACACCTGTGCCCCCTGCAGTGGAAGTGCAGTCTTTTTTCTTTTTTTTTAAATACAGCTAACCTCATAATAAACTTTTTAAAAAAATTTATTTAATTAATTTATGTTTGGCTGCGTTGGGTCTTCGTTGTTGCACACTGGCTCTCCCTAGTTGCAGCCAGTGGGGGCTACTCTTCGTTGCGGTGGAAGCGCAGAGTCTTAACCACTGGACCGCCAGGGAAGTCCCTATGATCTCTATTTATTTAAAAAAATAATTAGCAAAAATGGATTAGATGTATATGTACTTTTTACCTCTTTTTTCCAACAAATATTTGCTCAGATTTTTCTTGCACTTAAACATTGTTTTATAGATATCGACTACATATGAAATAATATTTATAAAAATGTGTAAAGTGTAGAAGACTAATAATTCAGCCAACACTTATATACCTTCCACCCAGTTTAAGAAATGGAATATCACCTCCTGTACTTAACAATTATTTTCTTCTCTTAATCAAACTTTGTTCCATTCTGTGAATCACATATGTCATGTAATCAAACACTTCCTTCATTTTTATATACATTGGTTGATAAGGCAATTTACTGATTATGGCTAAGACTTATTCTTGTATGTTTATATATTTTAGTTTATTTAATAAACCGTCATAGACTCAGATCGTGCTCTGTATTTATATTGGTTGATGGTTCATTTTAGCATACTTATAAAACCTAATTTGTTGTTTTCGTCTTTATTATAAAGTTTTACTAACATGGCTAAACGGTAGTAGATTTATTTCCCTCTTCTGTCATTTATTCTTGACTGTCTCATGCTAGCTCTCTAGCTTCCCCCACCCTTCCTCATAAAGGCCTTTGTTCTTTTAGTATTTTCTGAATGACTGTGTGCATTGTTTTGAATGGAGAAGGAAGTAGGCCTAGAAAAGAGTATACTAAACCAGTAGTTCCCAAAGGGGAATTGTAAGGTAGTTGATACTAATTAGATATAAGGAAGAATAAGTATGATTAAAGGAATGCATCAAAATTCTCTCCTTGTCGTATTACTTCCTCTTACAACAGAATTAAAATTGAATCTCTGAGATGTACGGATTGGGCACACTAGTTGAATTATGTTGGATTGTACTTATACATGATCACCAATGTTAGCTGTAATATTTTTACTGATGGTACCCAGATTTTATTTCAAGGAGCTAGAACAAGCGGTTGCAGATGGTTGTTTACTTTTCTAGTACGAGTCTGATCGAGGTAACAAATGTTATAAAATAGTTTGGAAGTTAGTTTAATTATTTGGATTTTTTTTTCTCGGCATTGTATCTGTTGAGTGCCTGTAGTCATCAAATACTATTGTCATTTGGAGAGAAGGCACTGTGTAAATAGATAGTTTAGTCTTTGTTATAATACCATGAAAACTACCACTTGGTTTATTTGAATAGCATCTTTTGTAATAACTTGTATTAGATGAAGATTGTTTACAATT